CCTTCAGAGAGATCTTGGAATCTGAAAAAGAAAACAGCAATGAAAGTTCATAAAGAAATCAATCCCTTCTTTCTGTCTTCCATAGACGTATGGATTGAACTTTTTTTTTTTTTGAGTTGGAGTCTCACTCTGTCGCCCAGACTGGAGTGCAGTGGCACGTTCCTGGCCACTGCAACCTCAACCTGCTAGGCTCCAGAGATCCTTCTGCCTCAGCCTTCAAGTAGCCGGAACTACAGGCGCATGCTACCACGCCCAGCTAATTTTCGATTTATTGTAGAGATGAGGTCTCGCCAAGTGACCCAGGCGGGTCTCAAATCCACGGGCTCAGGCAATCCACTCACCTTGGCCTCCCAAAGCACTGGGATTACAGGCTGAGCCACCGAGCCCGGCTGGATTGAACTTTTAAAACATAAGCAATATTTACAAACTTGTCACTTCACTTTCTTTTTCCTCCAGGAGAGGAGGCTAGAGAGGAAATCCCATTAAGGAAAGGGGGTGTGACATAAAGGCAAACAAATCAAGGACAAAACTGCCCTCAATTCCCATCAATATCACCAAGGATCTGTCTTGGCACCCCCAAATAAAACCAAGATATTATCTTATTTTCTTATTTCTGAAGGTAGAAATAGCTTAGAACTCAGCTTATATTCAATTTTCCTGTGGAAAAAGATCAAACAATACTTTGCTTTATAGTTGTGGTGCATGAGAACAAACAGGAAGCACCGTGGTACAGTGTGGTATATGGGAGGGGCACGGATGCTGGAGGAAGGCTCTGGGGGAAGGCAACTTCTGACGGCGGTGACTTCAGACAAGATAGCTACCGCTCCTGTGACCTGTGCCCCACAAACCCAGCTGCGACAGTGAAAATGATGAAAGATACCTTCCAGGGTCCTTCCTATCATGAAATAATGCATGCCGGAAATGACCTTCCGGGGCTTTCTTATCATGAAATAATGCATGCCAAGTCCTCAGAGTAATGCCTGGCTCACCTGAAGAGTGAGATCAGACAGTTGTTGCTTAACATCAACCACAACAAACTTTGATGCTCTACAGTGAACTGCAGGTCATCATGTCACCACAGCCACAGTAACGTCAATACTGACTACTGAATTAACTTGTGGCATAGACATGCTGGAGGTGGGGTATACAACTAAATTCTACCTATTGCAATAGCACACCAGTAGATGATACCTAAACAGTTAACTGACATCCCAGTTTTTTGATGTTAATATCAGGCATTGACAGACTTCTCTTCATATCACTACAAAGAAACTAAGAGATGAGTATGGCTGCATTTGAAGAATGGGACTTGTGGGGCAGAGGCAGCTGTTTCCATGAAAACTTTCAATTGGATGCACCTTTATATGCATCTATTACATCGCCAGGAATAAAAACATTAAAAGACAAAAACAGAAAAAGAAAAAAGGTGAGTATGTACATAGCTAGTGCTATACCAAGAGGTAAATAAAGGGCTAGACTTGAGCATGAACAAGAATCCAAGGAACCCCCTCACCAGTCACTGACTTTTTGATTAGTTTGGAGAGATGCTTCCTGTTGAAAGGAGGGACACTCTTCCTGTTGGTTATTTCCAGGAGTCGATCAGCAACAGCCTTATAGTCAAACTAGGCAGAAGAAAAACTAAGCATAAGTCTACAGCAAGACAGCATTGTCTGACTTGGAAATTCACATCTACTAGTACGAGAAAACCTTCTGCATGGGATTCTGGAAGTATCTGGCAACAGAACAGTCTAATCAAGCATGTGGTAAGACTTGGTAGCCCTAAGTGTAAGCACTATCTTGAAAAATTCACATCCTATTTATTCTTGGGAGAAGCTAAGTAATCTTTAAAAAAAAATTGGCAGAGCACACCTAACAAAATTTATCTGGGTGTGTTTTTTAAGTTTACTCTACATTTCCAATTTGCACTTGGTAACACAGTGAACTCTTTTTTTGAAAAGTGTTACAGAAACTGGTTCTGTTGCATGGACTAGAACAGACCTTAGTAATTCAAAATAAGGACTAACATCTTTCACAATTTCATCATATTTAAATTTCTTTGTCTCCAATAAGCTCATTGTAAGAAAGGTGACTTTAGTGACTGAAGGGATTAAAAACGACTTTACAACTCAGGCCTTATGGCTTAACTAGCTGTGACCCTAATTCTCTAGCCAGGCCACCCCATAGTAAATCTACATTCTATAAAAAGTAACAACTGCCACCCACCTGGAGAAGTGGCCCCGTGTCCTCAAAAGTTCCGCAGTCATCTCTTCCCCTTTCATCACCGAGCTCATCTTTTCTGCAGTGAGTTTTGCTCAGTGCTATCAAAACACATCCAAAGATAAAATTCTTGACACATTAAATGCGCAGCAATGGTACTTCCAAAGGAGCTGCTGTCTAACTTGGTGTCTCTTAGTAAAAAGTAAAATTTATTTAAGGAGAAAAACCCTGCAAATACAATTATAATGTCCTAGAGATATTCTGGTTGTTTAGTCTCTGGGAATGAGCCTAAGTCAGGAGAAAGCACACATTTTTCTTTTTCTTTCCATAATGACATCTCAGACAAAACCACAGAATTATCTGCTGCCCCTGGTGTTTCCCTTCTACACACAGTCTTCACATTAAGACTGTAACCCAGGCGAGTTTAGGGGCTCTGGCAGGTAGATGGAGGCACCATGGTCAGGAGGGCTCAGGAGTCTGTCCCTACTTTCAAGTCAGCTTAGGGCCATGGTGAAATCTATTATAGCAGCACACTTTTCACCATGCGCCCCAGGAAACACAAATTAATAGTAACATAAGTTTTAGCATTTTAAAAAGAATTCAAGGAGGGTTAAAGTCTATGAAGAAGCAGATGAAAACAACTAATGATAACTCACAAAACCTGTACCGTTTTTGGACTAGTGGTGTGGTACCAAGATGTGGCCTAGGGAAGATGGGGCAGGCCCAACACCACATGTGCAAGTGCTCCTTGTGCATGGGAAGAATGCATCAGGACAGAATATTTGGAACTGCACATGGAAAAGAGTGAGACCCTCATCTAATCTAGACGACAGAACCGTGGGGAATGGAGGGGTCCAGAGATTACTCCTGCAAACACACAAATTTGCTCAAGGATATCAGTTAACTCTGTTGTCTATACCAAATTTAAAATTAGCACCATTTCTTTTTCTTTTGAATACTTTTTTTATTTCAAGAGTTTCTCTCTTTCTCAAACAAGAGTGAGACTATAATATGTAAATAGTCATTGTAGAAAATTTAGAAAAGAAATAAGCACAAAGAAAACAGAAATCACCCATAATTCTGTCACCTAAGGCTAACTATTAACATTTTAGTGTTAATACTTAGTGTATCCTTCCAGATTTTTAAAGGCACAAATAAATGTTTAAAAACTAGTCAGATGTACAACTCCTATGTACCCATAAAGTTAAACAAAAACAGCCGGGTTCGGTGGCTCAGTCTGTAATCCCGCGCCTTTGGGAGGCTGAGGTGAGTGGATTGCCTGGGCCCGCGGGTTCAAGACCCG